GCTCCGCGCAAGACTCGAGTCAGTCCAGGCAGGGCCGATGGCACGGATGAGCAGAGCCACACGGGGTCGACCGCCGACGCTCGCGGAGAGAGGAGAAGGCGCTTACCGAATGTCACGTGACCGGCGTGGCACACCGTCTCACGGACGTACTCGCGAGGCTGGAAACACCACGCCTGAGAAACAAAGACCGATCAGCCCGCCGTCTGACGAGGGGGAGGCGAACGAGCACGCCGACGCCGCGGCAACCACGTTAGGCGTGAGGGGGACACAAGCCACGCCAGTCCACCAATGGCTGAGATCAGGGAGGCGACAATCAGCCAACGGAAAGCAGGCTAGTCAACAAACGTGCGCTGTGCACGGTTATAATACGAGGCAGGCGGCAAGGCTGAACAGATCAAGGCCAGCAGGAAACGTCAGCGCACGACTCTGATGATGGAAACGAGTGTGTTTCCGAAACGTCAGTCTGAATACAACCTGGTCCATGAAATCGATTTCTCTTCTTCGTCTTCCTCGGGGGATGATACACACGGTAATATATCTGGACCGCGCATCTTCACGCATATTGCCATATATATATATATATATATATATATATATATATATATAGTGCTTATGGCCCATCTGGTAGGCCTCAGTGGTGGACCAACTGCGCCAGGTGTGTTTGTGCGCATGTTTATGTTTCTGGTCCCGGCTGCTGGTCAGGGTTATGATTGGTTGATTGAAGGCAGAATAAGTCCGAAGCAGTACTATATCAATCTACCTGCATCCCCTGTCATCCCTCCTCATTGCTATTATAACCTGGCTGACTTCAGCCCGGTAATTGGTTGCCTATTCCTGACCTTTGCCACCCATACGGAGCTTGTTTTCTTCTTGAAATCAATAGATCGGTGTGCGCCATCCCTGATTGAGTATATACATATATATATGTTGTAGAGTAGAAGTGGTAGGCATTCCGAGACGATATAATGAAAAAGGAAGAGGTTCGTCGGAAAAAATCGAGTTGTACTCGTGAATTTTCGAACCAACCCGTCGTCAGACGAAATGAAGAGAAAAGAGAGAGTGAGACAGTCACACTAGACTAATAGACGAGACAGGACAAACATTGACGGACGAACCATTAGCGTGTGAGGAGGGATGCGGGTAGGGAGTCATGCTGGGTTCTGAGCCGGGAGGGTAGGAAGGGGGGGGAACCGTTACGGCTCCCCGTGTTGGCGGAGAGGGAGAATGGTAGGTTGGCAGAACTGCGGGCGCCTTGATTCGCGGCTGCTGATGCGGCGTGGGGCTCGGCTTAGTGAGGCGAGATCTTAGGCCCTCATAATGGGCATCAAGGTCGACGTGGCGGTTGTTGCTGTCCGCGTTAGAGTGCCATGCCTCTAGGAATTCTCTCGCCCGTTTTGTGTTGGCCGTGGCGATGACCTCGATGTTATCCCAATTAAAACGGTGGTCGCACTGGAGTGCGTGTGCAAAGACGAGGGACAGTGGACCACGGCGACGGACAGCTAGTTTGTGTTCATGTGTTCCCAGGCGTCGTTCTGTATGACCAACATATACGCAGGGACAATTGGCACACGGGATGCGATAGATGACGTTAGTCTGTTCTTCTTTGGGGATCGAATCCTTTACTCGAGTTAAGACTGTGCGCAGCGACGATGCAGGCTTGTGGGAAACGCGAATACCGAACTGACTGAACTGACGTGCGATCATTTCTGAGGTCCCCTGCATATAGGGCAGGGAGAAGAATTTCCGGGTCACGGTTTCTCCATCTGAGGAGGGGTCTCAAGGTTGTGCCGGACGTCTGAGGCAGTTCTTCACGAAACTGACTGGGTATCCGTTAGATCGAAATAGCCGATATAGAAAGCCTAGTTCTTTCTTCAGCAGATCGTCATTGCTGCAATACCGGTAGACTCGGTGGAAGAGGGTTCGGACGCAGCTTCTTTTGTGAACCGCAGGGTGATTGCTTCCATAATGGAGGATGATCTCAGAATCAGGCCCTTTCCTATGGACGCTGGTTGCGAGGTTACCGTCATCCAGCCTTTGTATTTTCACGTCCAGAAACGACATACTGTCTCCTACTGCCTCTTCGCGGGTAAATTGTATGGCCGGAAAGACTTCATTCAGCCTCTGATGTAGCCTTTCGACCTCGCGGTTCTTTATCTCGACAAAGGTGTCGTCTACATAGCGGAGCCACATTTTGGGGTTGAGAGTGTGAAAAACCTCATGCTCTAGTCGCTGTAGCTCTAGTTCGGCGAGTAGACCGGATATTGGGGAGCCCATTGGACTCCCCTTCACCTGTTGGTAGTACTTATTGTCGAACATACAATAGTTCTTAAGACACAGTTGGAGCAGTTTTATAACGTGGTGCGCTGGGATACCAACAGGATTGTCCTGTAGCCGTTGGGCTACGCAGTCAATTGCCAAGTCGTGCGGTATAGAAGAAAATAAGGCAACGACGTCAAAAGACAAGAAGCATTCATCAGTGCTTACATTGAGGCCGTCGATCCGGTTGAGGAATTCGTGGGAGCTGTTAATGCTTTAGCGAGATCCGTGAGTTAGCGGCTTCAGATGCTTGCACAGCCACTTGGCTAAATTGTAGGTAGGGGATCCGATAAGCGGTACAATAATCATCAGTGGGGCACCAATTTTGTGAACCTTTGGGAGACCGTACGCGTGTGCGACATGGGGATCACTGAGGGACATAAACTTTGAGTCATCTGGACCTATGACTTTCAGTCGAGCAAGCTCATTAACCTTTTTCTTGATGGCTGCGGCTTGCTTTTTCGTTGGGTCTTCGGTGAGAATGGTGTAAGAATCCGTGTCACTGAAGATTATATTCGCCTTGTTGACGTAGTCAGTTTTGTCCATGATGACGGTAGCGCCACCTCTGTCGGCAGGTACAACAACAATACTGTGGTCCGACGACGGGTTGGTGTCACCAATTCGAAAATTCACGAGCACAACTCGATTTTTTCCGAAGAACCTCTTCCTTTTTCATATATATATATATATATATATATATATATATATATATATAAATTATGACAGTCGGCGCTCGCCGATCAGGTTACGGAACATGCTCGTTCCGTTGTGCCTTGGGGCTCATACTAGAACCCTCGCAGGCAGTCGCACAGCGACTAGTAATAGACATAGATGAGATGATACCGACAAAGACAAGGGAGACCGGAATGGCCATTTCTGGCTTATTAGCCGTCGTAAGCCAGCCATACCCAAGCCCGAAGTGTGGAACGCCCGAGCCTCGAACTCGCGACCTGTTGGTTTATAAGTCCACGCCTCTACCTACCGAACCACGAGCCCGTTGCCCTGTCGGTTTTCGATCGGGAGTTCGAGGCTCGGGTGTTCCACACTTCGGGCTTGGGTATGGCTAGCTGACTACGGCTAATAAGCCAGAAATGGCCATTCCAGTCTCCCTTGTCTTTGTCGGTAATATCATTCTGCCTATATACATATATATCTATACTGGCTATCCCTCTCCATGACCCGGTCCCTCGTATTTGCACACGCACACCAATGCGACCACTGTTTCAAATGGGATGACACCGAGGTCATCGTCACGGCCAACACAAAACGGGCGAGAGAATTTCCAGAGGCATGGCACTCTAAACCGGACAGCATCAACCGCCACGTTTACCTAGACGCCCATTATGAGGGCCTAAAATCACGTCTCACTGAGCTGAGCCCCACGCCGCATCAGCGGCTACCAATCCAGGCGCCCACAGTTCCTCCAACTGACAGTTCTCCCTCCCCTCTAGCACGGGGAACCGTAACTGTTCTCTCGCCCCCATCCGGCTCAGAACAAAACATGACTCCCTGCACGCATCATTTCTCACACGCTAATGGTCCGCCCATCAATGATTGTTCTGCTGCGCCAACTAGTCTTTTGGGGTTGTCTATATATGCATATACACATATATATAATGGTAGAGGGCGTTCACCGATCGTTCATACGAAAATCACACGTTCCGTTGTGCCCTACGGGCTCTCTCTCGAGCCCAACCAACAGCTGCACAGCGGCGCATGATATAGGCTGTACGTTATTACCGTCAGAGACAATGGAGACTGGAATAACCATCTCTGGCTTATCGGCCGTCGTCAGCCAGTCATTCCCAAACCCGAAGTAGGGAACACCCGAGGCTCGAACTCGCTACCTGCTAGTTAGAAATCCACGCCTCTAACAACTGGGTAACGAGCCTCGGGTGTTCCACACTTCGGGGTTGGGTATGACTGGCTAACGACTGCTCATAATACAGAAATGGCCATTCCAGTCTCCCTTGAATTTATCGGTAGTGCCATTCTGCATATATATGATGCGTCGCTGTGCCGCTGTTGGTTGGGCTCCATAGAGCCCGTAAAGCAAAACGGCTGCTGCAATGCTGTGTGTCATTCCGCGGTTCCAGCATCACTGCGATCTGCTACATTACCAAGTATGATCTAAACCTGCTTGGTCTCGACTGGATTGAACAACTTCGGTTGACCGATATGCCGCTCCACGTTCTTTGCAGTCAGGTGTAGATTCCCGCTGGGCTTGCAGACCAAACCAAAGACATTCTCCAACGGTTTGCTCCAGTGTTCCAAGACGGCCTGGGTCGTTGCACGTACACTCAAGCCGTGCTACATCTGTCTCCTGGAAATCAACCAGTCTTCCGTCCAAAGCGACCAGTCCCATATGCAGCCCTACCACTTGTCGAGGCTGAATTGAAGCGTCTAGAGGAATTGGAAGTTCTGGTTCCTGTATCCTACTCCGCCTGGGCCGCTCCAATCGTTGTGGTTAAGGAGCCCAAGGGCTCTATCCGCATTTGTGCTGACTTCTCCACCGGTCTCAATGCCGCACTGACGCCGAACTGCTATCCATTACCGGTTCCGGCTGATCTTTTCACCCTGCTGAACGGTGGCACTTGCTTTGCCAAGTTGGATCTCGCTGATGCGTATCTGCAGATCGAGGTCGTCCCAGAGTCGCGCGCATTGTTGACCATCAATGCCCACCGCGGTCTGTTCCAATACACCAGGCTGCTCTTTGGTGTCAAGACCGCCCCGGCCCTATTCCAACAAACGATAAACGCAATGCTCTCCGGCATCCCTGGCACAGCTGGGTACCTGGACGACATCATCATCGTGGATCGCTCCCCTGCCGAGCTGCAAGACCGAGTGTGTGCAGTACTCGAACGCGTGCAGGAATATGGCTTTCGGCTGCGGGCCGACAAGTGCCAATTCTTCCTCGACTCTATCAAGTACCTCGGATTCGTTTTTGACGTCACTGGTCGCCATCCAGACCCTGAAAACATTCGGCCATCCAACGGATGCCTGTCCCCAAGAATGTATTGCAACTTCGTTCGTTTCTTAGCCTGATCAGCTACTATAACGCCTTCCTACCATCGCTGCATGACGTACGGGCCCCGCTCAACCGTCTGTTGCAGAAGGATGCTCCCTGGTGCTGGTCCCCCGACTGTGAAAAGGCCTTCGCCCAGCTAAAGTCGATGCTGAGTTCAGATCTGCTGCTCACGCACTACGACCTGACGCTGCCGATCGTTGTTGCTGCAGATGCTTCCAACCACGGAGTTGGTGCCGTCATCCCACATACTTTTCCTGATGGGTGTGAAAAGGCGATCATGCATGCATCTCGCACGCTAACCCCTGCGGAGAAGAACTATGGGCAAATAGAGAAAGAAGCTCTAGCCCTCGTGTTTGCCGTCAAGAAATTTCACAAACTATTGTACGGTCGCCACTTCACGATGTTGACGGATCACAAACCATTGCTGTCAATCTTCGGTTCGAAGAAGGGCATTCCCGTCTACTCAGCCAGCCGACTTCAGCGATGGGCAACCATCCTTCTTGGCTACGACTTCGATATTCGCTACTGTCGTACTACAGACTTTGGTCAGGCTGACGCCCTTTCTCGCCTCATCAGCAATCAGCAGGAACCGGAGGAAGATACCGTGATTGCAGCTATTTCGATTGAGGACGGTGTGCGCCGTCAGCTATCAGACGCCATACGAGGTATCCCTGTCACTGCCGCGGACATCCGACGTGCTACTGAACAGGATCCCATCCTCCGTTAGGCCATCACCTACGTACAGACCTGCTGGCTAACCACTGCTCTCGCTGGCGATCTTCGCCAGCTCTTCCTCCGCCGAGTATCGCTATCTGTAGTTGACTCCTGCCTCATGTTTGCGGGCCGTGTGGTGATCCCATCTTCCCTCTGACCCACTGTACTACGCTAGTTCCATGCGGCTCATCCTGGTACCAGCCGAATGAAGTCTATTGCTCGCAGTTTTGCCTACTGGCCAAGTATCGACGGCGACATCGACGACCTGGTTCGACGCTGTTCTCGATGTCAGCAAGCTGCCAAGATGCCGTCTCGTCAACCGCCAGTACCCTGGGAACCACCAGAGAGGCCTTGGTCACGCGTGCACATCGACTTCGCTGGCCCACTTAACGGAGTCTCCTACCTAATCTTGGTTGACGCCTACTCGAAGCGGCCCGAGATTGCTCCGCTGAATCCAGCGACCGCATCTTCCACTATCACCTTCATACGACGCATATTTAGCCAACATGGCTTACTGGAAGACCTGGTTTCAGACAATGCCTCTCAGTTTACTTCGTCGACATTTGAGGATTTCTGCCGCCAGCACAATATCCAACATCTTCGTTCGCCGCCCTACCATCCTCAGTCAAACGGTCAGGCGGAGCGATTTGTCCACACGTTTAAGAGAGCCCTCTTGAAAGCTCGTGGGGAGGGGCCACGGACGAGATAGTCCAGACATTTCTGTTTTCCTACAGGACAACACCGAACCCGGCGTCCTCTGGTGGCGGTTCTCCTGCCGAAGCGTTGATGGGCCGAAAACTGCGTACAACGTTTCATGCCCTCGTCCCTACCGGTGCGCAGCCCGCGCAGATTTCTCCAGTCTGTTGCAGCAAGCTCTCCATCGGCACACCTGTCTTCGTTCGTGATTATCGAGCGGGTTTTCCTGGCTGCATTGAAGCAACAGTAGTAGCGCACGGAGGCAGTATGTTGTTTGACGTCGACGTTGGTGATGGCATCTGGGTTCGCCACCACAACCAGATCCGACAGCGACACTGCAGTAACACAACTGGGCTCGATTCGGCGCCGTCAGTCTCTCTCGACATCCTACTGGATACCTTCGCCATTCCGGCAGATCAGTCGGTTCCCGAACCCACTGCTGCGCCTTCTTCGGATGTACCGCCTTCGGTATCAGTCACTGCCCCTGGGTCTCCAGACAACAAACCACGACTAAGACGCCGAAACAACCGCGTGCGTCGATCAACACGGCTGATGCAGGTCAAACCACGCTAGAAGCGGTACTGACCTACTTGGAGGGGAGGTGTTGGGAGTGCCTACACCCCCAAAAACAAGTGCAAACCAATCACTGAAGATCACGTGCATTTGCTCTCTCTCTCTACAGCGCTAGCATCTCAATCAGGCGCCTTCCTATTGGCTACTCCCCTCGTCCCGAAGGTCATTGGACCGAATGCCGTCGAACCACGGTAGCGTGTTATAAATATGCGTCACCCTTAGCTAATCGCGACTTGCAGTGTTTTGCTAATAACCTTTCCGTGGCCAGCCGTGGGTTCTTTGTCTGCTGCCTTGGTATTGGGGACCAGGGTTGAGTGCATATACGCTCCACGGAATTTCACGTACCAGGCGGGTCATAACAGTTTTCTTTGTGAGTGATGAACACAGTGTGAATATTATCGACAGCTGAAAGGACTTCTTATGGGGTCACCTATATCTGGCTTTCTGGATGAGAACACAATGTAAAAATCAGAGGATATAACCTACCATTTTTCAATCCCAAATTATGGGTACGCGACGTTGATGATACCTTTGTCCTCGTCAATATGGATCAACTGGATACGCTGCATAATATTATCCACGGAACACTACCGGGAGTCACCTTCACGCCCGAAAAAGAAGTTGCCTGCAAACTACCATTTCTCGATATCCTCGAACAGCGAAATCCGGCGGGATATTCCATACGTCGGTATATCGCAAAGTTATCCCACATTACGAAGAACACCAAACTATCGCTCACAAACGCACTAATTTTAACACCCTACTTAATCGAGCAAAGACACATCTCTCTGAGAACGAAGCGTACAAAATGGATCTCAGTCATTTATTCAACGTATTTTCCAAAAACGGTTACTCTAAGGATTTTGCGCGCCGATACACGAGCCAGCAGAAATCAAAAGAAGGATATGAGGACCAAGATTGTTCTGATCAGGCGACAAAACGAAAACCAAAATCTGGCGAATGCCTCCTAACATTAAAAATGTGCCTCAACTCGTTGAAATACACCTGAGTAAGCACCAAATACGACTGACGCACTGACCGACGAATACGCTACGCAGTCAGCTTCTATACCTTAAGGACAGGGTTGGCTATTTGGATAAGAAGATGCAGTCTATAAGGTTCCATATGGCACTTGTGATGCGATGTACTGTAGTCAGACTGGGGAATTCGCCTCCACACGCCTGCATGAGGACCGAACGGCAGTAAAGAGGCGGGACTAATTACCCTAAATCGCCATGCATACCCTTAAGACTGGACACAAATTTGTTTGAGATAAAGCACGCATTTTCGGTTTGTGCCCATATAACAAAGGTCGAGAATTTCCAGAGGCCATTCAGTCTGATGATTCATGCATCAAGCGACGCATAGACCTAGACGTCATGTACACAAATCTCAGAGGGAAATGGAAAAGCTGATAGCCAATCAAAACGTGACATGAGCTCACAGCATTGACCCATCCTCAGCACCGACAAAGCATTATCGATTTTTCAATAATGTTTAGATTTTAAACGTTTTTCACACTTTCTACACGTCTGACGAGGACCCGGGAACCAGCGTCGAGACTTGGCGAAGTAATCTAGGTTCAATTTTCCAAAGGACTCATTTTTCTTCGAATTTTGTTTCGTGGGATGCCCATCTTCCATTACACACATGTATGCGTTGGTGGGTTGGCGCTCACCGATTGGTCTTACGGAAGTCACTCGTGCCGTTTTACCTTACGGGATCTCACACGTAGATAAGGCTAAAGGAACAAAGACAAGGGAGTTTGAAACACCCGATTTGTCTCGTTATCCGTCACCAGCCAGTCATAGATCATTGACTGTGGCACTATACGATTGAGTCCCTGCCCCTTGGCCTGTCGGTTGTGGTCGGGAATATTAATTATGGTAGATGGGCGTTCACTAATCAGTTTACCAGGTGTGCTTGTCCCGCACAGCCTTGGGGTTAAAACTAGAATCCTCGCAGGCTGTTACATACCGTGTAGTAATATGGGGTTATGGTTCAAGCCCAAAGGCACAACGGGACGACCACGTCCTATAGACCGATCGGTGCACGCCCACCTACGGGAAGCCATTGAATCGGTGTGTGCCCATTGCTGAGTGAATAAATACCCGATCTGCAGCGACAGAGAATGACAGGTGGCAAGGCACTAATGAACTTCGGTTGGGTGAACTGTTTATGACCCATCCGGTAGACCCCAGTGGTGGACGAGCTGAGCCATGTGTGTCTACGCGCAGGTTTGTGTTTCCGGTCCTACCTGGTGGTCAGGATTATGGTTTTGCTGAATGAAGGCAAACAGGCGCGAAACAGTTCTGCATCATTTTGCCCTCTCCCCCCCCCTCCCAGACACTGTCATCTCCCCTCTGCCGCCATAGCTTAGCTGACTTCTGTCTGGTAGGTGGTTTCATGTTCGTGACCCTTATCACCAACACGATGTTTCTTGGCTTCCGGAAGCTAATGGATCGGTGTGCACCAATTCCTGAGTGAATTTGCATATACAATGTTAGGGTGTGCTGACCTGGGATAGAGCGCAGTATGTAGCACACTTCGGCGTTGGGTATGACTGGCTGAGGACGTCTAATAAGCCAGGAGTGGCCATTCCAGTCTACCTTGTCTTTTTCGGTAATCCCATTTCGCCTACATCATGAGCCACTGCGTGGCTGCTGTTTGGGCTCGAGAGATAGCACGCAAGGCACAACAAAGGAGGGAGTTCCATAACAACGATCTGTCAACGCCCCTCTATCATTGTATATATGAATAGGATAAAGGGGTGTTAACCGATTCTTTTTACAGACCTCACTCCACCCGTTCTGCCTCAGGACTCTCTCTCTCTCCAGCCCAACCAGCAGACGCACAGCATCGCATAATATAGGCAGAATATCATTACCGACAAAGACAATGGAAATTGGAATTGCCATTTCTGGCTTATTACCCGTTGTCAGCCAGTCACACCCACCCCGAATTGCGAAACACCTGGAACTCGACTCCTATGTTTTGGGCGTGCGCTCATTGAGCACGTTACGGACATTCTCGTCCTGCTGTGCTCTGGGACTCAATCTAGAGCTCCATGGGCAGTCGCACCGCGACTAGAAGGGAATTACCAACAAAGGCCAGACTGAAATTGCCATTTACGGCATATTGCCCGTCGTTATCTAGTTTTATCCAGATTTAGTTTTTGCGGCATGCTATTTTGCCGAATTCTGTGGTGCATGCCAATACGATGTCTGAGTGTGCTTGTACAGGCGGGCGACTGACGGATGTGAAGTAATTGCCTAGAGTTTCACCAGTACGTGCCGCCATCCGGCCGGTTCTTTCACAGTGCACACGCCATTGTTGCGGAATTCATTAAAATCAATAGGATTGGGCCGACAATGCAAACCTGATGGTCTTAATATTGGTCCATTGTCTCTCACGTGTCTCATCCTGCGAACTTAAAGCCATCTGATGTTCTGCGTGAAAAACCGGTACCAACTGGTTTCGTTTATGCATTCTGCTGGCCATCTACATTTTGGACATTGGGAGACATGGCATTTGCCGCGAAAGCCGAAAATAGGAAATGGCTTTTACTACTTAACCTTCTTCCCTAAGTCGCCTGTCACCGGATATCATACTAGTAATAAAACGGTTTTCAAATCATCTTCACTGAATTTCTGAGGGAATTTCCGATCTAGATATTAATGCAACATATAAAAGGGAGGTAAGGTGAACTGTCCGTAAAAGAACCATGATGTTCCAGCGACTGTGATAGGTTTGATGATTTTCCTCGGAGTTGAACGTCTGTGAAAGGTTTGGCACCTCCACATCAGGCACAAATTGTTCTTGATGCAGCCAAAATAATCTCGTGACTTAGTTTTTGATGTATGGTCAATCATATTTGAAGTGCTTTTATGTAATTCAGATAAATGGACGAAAGGAAGTTTGCGATACCCACAATGGTTATCAATCCTGATATGAGAAATTATCCTGATGGTCTGCATCATTTTATGCTATTTTTCGCATTTAAATTAAATTTCCGACCGCTAATTACTGCGAATGCGTGATTACGTGAAAACAGCGTTACTGTAAAAAAAATCCTGTGGGGAAGGCTGACGTTCATTCCATAGTAGCTTATGAGACTTATCCTGGTGGAAATTCATAATTATCCATTCGCTTACCTTAGTTATTTCCTTTGATCTGATATAAACTTGTTGTAAAAACGTAGGAGCCAATCCCGGGCATGGCTACGGAAGACGTTGCCTGAGTGAACAACGAGGTCTTCCTGTTTTCCCTCGTAACGTGCGACGGTGGATTCTCTGAACTGCATGTTTGCGTTGTCATTTTCTCCGTTTGAGAACCCCCGTTTCTCCTCACCTCCCACTTCCGTCCCCAAATAAACCCTTCTCGTTAAGAGACCTTATTATTTGGTACGGTGCGTTCTTCCGTTTGCTAACTACAGAACCGGATTACAAATGATAAATTTGTTCCGAGTTGGAGAAGATTCGATGACAGACCCTGGAAGTAGTTCACTCTCTCTTACCCATTCCTGCGTCGGGAGTACCTAGAGCGTCACCAAACGCCGAATTGTGTTTTAATCTATCGGCCTTAAGGTCAGATGCGGGTATAAAGTTGCGCGAAATTATGAAGTGCCGAGAAGTCACCAAATTACACGATATCGACAAACCAGCAATATGATCGAGGAAATTGGTAAATCCCAAATTGTAATCAACTGTAACCACCTGCAGACATGGAAATTCCGGATGAAAATGACCCGGATATTTTCGACCCGGAATGCGACCCTAACAATCCACGCGCCATTAATTTCCATCTAGTTCTGGAAGCTGCCGAACGCATAAAGGGGAGTGTACAGCCGACAACCTGTGCAGTATGACAACTTAACCAATACGCTATTTTTAGCGATCGCGTCTTTCAGCTAAGTACGGCATGGAATTGTACTTCAAAAAGGAGTTCGAGCATTTAACCGGCAGTTTCAAGGAACGTGGAGCATGTAACACGCTCAGTGCATTCACGGCTGTAAGTGCCTTTTATTCGTATCTCTACTTTTCACTCTCTGTTTGACTTCCGTGAATAATTTGCTGCAGATAAACCACATTCATTTGGTTTACTCAGTCATAATTAATAAATTTGCACTGCTTGCTCATCGAAGACGACGGCAAATGCGGCTTGTGCATGCGTTGCTTTGTGCTGCATACACAGCAATCCTCTGACAGCTTTCGCCGGACGGCATACCCGGTAGAAAACATTCCAAGTATACAATGGGAATGTGTTTATTGAAAGATATATATGTAACGAAAATACTCATTTTGTGAAAATATTGCTGTGGAATTTTTAATTTTAACACCTAGGTATAGCCGCTTGTCACTTAAATCTTATCTGCACTACCTTTATGCCTTTTGTGGTAGCGAAGTTGTAAGCCCAATAGATCAATTAATTCATAATAATTTCGGATGTACTTGTGATCATTGTCGAATTATGTAAACCTACTCAGGAGTACAAATTTTCACCCGGCCATCCTATACGGTAGGACTCACTTTCATTCTCGTCTTCTGAGGCCTAGCCTACCGCTTTTGGTTATTTTGTACCCATCAGTTATTTTTTCATTTTATGTCCATTTGCGTAGGAACAAAAACGCATAGGAGCTATTTCCGCCAGCACAGGGAACCATTCATCCGCGATGGCTTTACATGCACAAAAATTAGGCATACCTGTGACGGTTGTCATGCCCACTATAGCGCCACTTCCAAAAATCAACAACTGTCTCGCTTTTGGTGCAAGAATCATCTTGAAAGGAAAAACCATAAGTGAAGTGAGTCTTTAGATTTCTTCTTCATGTGCGTTCTCTCAATTGTAGGCTATGACAATCCACCATCACACATATATGCTCCGTTTATTCATCGCCAAACTCAGATGACGTTTATGATATTTTAGGCCCGCCGAGTTGCTTTGAAACTCGCGCATCAACACGGCTACACTTACATTAATGGGTATGTCAGCTTAGATGTTATTGTCTACACATGCTTAAAAATTTTTATGTTGGAAAAAGATAATTCGCAACATATTTTGGATGAAACGAAGATCTTTATTAATTTATTTGTTACCTAGGTACGACCATCCGTATATTCTCGCTGGACAGGGCACGATCGGTTTGGAAATCCTCCAGCAGGTTCCAGATGTGGACGCTATTATTGTTCCCGTTGGTGGCGCCGGTCTCATTGCTGGCATTGCGTGTGCAGTAAAAAAACTAAAGCCCAGTGTCAAGGTTTATGTATGTGGCTCCTTGTATTCAAGCACGATCAGCAACACCATTATTCGGGATATTTTACCTTACTCTGCATTTTATTCAGGGTGTTGAGTCCGAGAAATGTCCTTCCTTCTCCAGAGCTTGGGCTGCCGGAAAACCTGTTTACACTCCTTGCGACAGCACGCTAGCAGATGGTGGGATGCCTTTGTATTTTACTAGTTACTTCTTTAGGTCTGCTTGTGCCTACTGTCGGTGTCAATGCACTGGAAACATTGAAACCCTTGTTGGATAAAATTGTGGCAATTGACGAGAGTTTTGTCATGCGAGCTATTCTTGAATTGCTGGAAATGGAAAAATCAGTTGTCGAGGGTGCTGGAGCTATTGGTTTTGGTGCCATAATTGCAAACACCTTCCCTGAGCTGAAAGGGAAAAAGTGAGTACATTCTTATTTATTGGTTGAAATGTGAAGACGCTAGTGGTTTCGCGCTATCGGACATTTGCCCCTTATTTCTTTTAGAGTGGTGTGCGTTTTGTGTGGTGGCAATATTGACTCGGTTATTCTTGGCAAAGTCATTGACAGAGCCCTTGCTGTCGAAAGCCGTTTGGTCCGCTTTAAAGTAAGCATAACGGACAAGGTTGGTGGTTTAGCAGCCCTCTGTAATATGCTTCGGGATCTGGGAGTTTGGTAAGTCAATAATTTGGTTGTTTTTTCTTTTGATTTATTAACTAACCCTCAATGCTCGTCCGATTGAATTGGTTAATTTCATGCACAGTGTAGAGGACAATCAGTGTGTTGTCCCCTTTTTTGCACATACCAGGATTTTTTTAGGGGTTCTGTAAACTCTCCAACTGGTCCCTTATACATGAAATGCTTATAAATCAACTTGCAATCTAAAAATGCCACTCAACATTATTGGCCATTATTTAGTTATTAATTTTCCCGTGTATCTTGTCTTTTTTAGCATACGCGAAGTCTATCACGACCGCTGTTTCCTGAAATCCGATGTTTTCAAAACACAAGTGAAGTGTATCGTAGAGACTCGTGATGAGACCCATGCAAAGCAACTTCATGATGCCCTTGTTCAAACTTACGAGGAAGTGAAATGGAAGTCTCCAGATGTTTGAAGGCATTCGTTGAAATCTGCAAAATTAGATACCGGTGTACCCTGTCATTTACGTGCTTCTTAGTTGTTACAATTGCTAACGAATAAATTACTTTCTTTATAAATGTCTTTTGAAAAATGTCCTATAAGAATTCTCCTGCAAAATTTAACGATAGGAAGCTTTGTGAAGAATGAAGAACATGTTTGAGTCTCGAATGTCACGTGGGATTTACTATGGAGAAGCCTCTTTCCATCTTTGGAATGGCATGTAATTCATTGAGCAATGTAGCGATGTGGACATTGGATATATCTGGGTCTGTAATGAGAACGCATTTGATTATGTGGGAATGGTATATCAAAATTGGCGCATTTCGGTTTGGCTTAATTACTGAATACATATGGTTGTTTTATGAAACGTACTAGGTCCAGGTCTGTTGGAGGACAAGGGAAAGAGACAGAACGTACGAAGTCGGGTGATATGCGGTAGGTTAAATAAATGCCGTTAGAAGTCCAGATTTGTTATTTTTCATTATTTGGCGCTTCCGGAGTTAACAAAGTCAAGGATAACGTGCATGAACCAGTACGTACTAATAAGATTCCTTGAATAAATCAACATTATTATTTTTGTTTGGTCCAGTGCCCAGACCGAGATTCCATGCAATTTGAAAGCCGGTGTGGGTGTTGAAGTGAGTCAGCAAATGATTTTAATTATTTATTCATATTTTCTAGCAAGCGGTACGTAAAACACGTCAAAAAATGTCTTTTTATGCCAACTGCATGATACGTGCTTCCTGCTGGAAGAAACAACACTATGCATGTTTATATTTTAGCTTGTTTGGTTAGGCCGCTATCAAGTCATATGCTTGAAGCAAATCCCGGGGGATAAAGTGTGGCCGTCGAGCACATTTAATGAGGCGACAAAATCTTGATTAGGCTAAGTAGGCACGGGGACATCTACAACGAATGATGCTCACAAAAATTACGCTAGGGAGAGCCCCCCCACCCCTCAATAAATCATCGCAATCTAATGCCCATGACCGCCAACTAAGATTCTTGACTTCGGATTACGATGTGCATTTTTCAAGATTTTGTGTACTTAGAACCGCACATATCTGTCTGTAAATCCAACGACTAGCTAACCAACAACCGTCCAGTTGTCCGAGAAACTGTGACACTTGCAAACAAGTGGACTGTCGTTGGAATCACAGACACGTGGGTGAGGTACTTCGTTCAAAAACTTGAGATGGATGCACGCCGTAAACTCGAATAAGGAATGCCAGATTTTAGAACATATGCTCGCGGAAACAAAAGGAGGCCATTGACGGCTCAAGCTCTCATCGAACACTTTAACTACTGAAAGGGAGCAGAAAGAACGACCAAATCCAGGTTACTAATTTTCGACTAATTTTAAAGTCCTAGCCTCCGAAACGTCGAATGATCTGGTGTAAAGACGAGCAGAGCCAATCTCAGACCTCATCAAACAGGGCAAGATAGGGTGCTTAAGGGCAAATCTTACTGCATTTTAGCCAAATGTTAATGTATTTTTCTGCCACTAATCCAGTGTTCGACTTCTAAATACAGTATTCACAATACCGAGGAATTTACTGGGATGGTGACTAGTAGTCCGTGCGTCATAATATGCAGCACCGCCTGTACTAAGAGAGGGCAATTGTGCGTTACTGTTGCTCCGCCCAAACTGATGTTTTTGCCTGCCACTAACGCAGTGATCGACTTCTTAAAACAGCATTCAGAATACCGAAGAATGTACTGGGATGGCGACTAGCAGTCCGTCCGTCGTCGTATGCAGCATCGCCTGCAATTTTGCGTTAATTTATAATAGCATGTGGATCCCAGGAAATGTATGAAAGGAAACTGCTGGCTTATATCATAATGAAGCATCACATGCGCCAGCAGTTCGCGGGTGGGTGCGTCGTTGGCCCGTCGAGACAATTGTGGGTTGGAACCGCTCACCATCCAACACAATACTTTCGTCTGGTATTACATCCCAAATGTAGAAGCGAGTGATAGGCTGCTGACTATAGTGTAATTTCAGAGAATGCAATTGCTTCAATGTCAAGGATGCACGAGTCGAGATCGAAACAGAAGTCACAAGTGGTGAGTCTCTTTGCGCTAGCCGATCAGGCGACGGACTTCAGCGCCATTAGGTCGGTCGACCAAGATTACAAGCATGCGCAATGTGTTATAGAAGGCGTCGCTGGGAGAAGCTAGTTCGATCGACCTGCATAGGCAGTGGTTCAATGCCAACATGACTCATGGCCTCCCTAAAGCATTACGGTTAGTTGAAAGGGAAGTTGGGTTAGACATGACATCCCCCGAGCCGTCAAGTCTCGGCGCCGCGATCGAGGTCCAGGTAAACTGTAGTAATGACAACAGAGGATGGACGTCTTGCGCGAGACCAACAATTCGACTGCCGCGAACGATGATGTTTAGTGTGTCGTCCATGGAATGGGCATCGCACCGGCGATAGCGTAAACAGTGGTAGGTGTTTAGTGGGGTCGGGGGTGTGGCGTTTACGAGATGAGCGTGTTCGTAGAATTGGGGGTTGAGAGTTCGCTTTAGGAGTGTTCAGGACAGTGTGAGCTGGCGTCTATCTGTCTACGTTGAGTAGGTCGGGTTGTGAAATTAGCTAATTGCACACCCTCTATCACCTTTACTCCACCCTTGCGTTTTCTACCGATTATGTTAACCCCTGTCACTAGGGACGCAGATACTGGGTGTTGGTATTTCGCTCGTTTATGAGTGTGTAGAAGGACGCCAGGTTGGACGACAGGGAGAGTTGGCTTTCGGAGTGTAGTCTCTGTCCGAACGTAGGTGGAGCCGTTCATGCTGCCAAACTGTTGATGATCGGAAGGTGAACGGGTAGATGACGTGTCATTTATAGTACCATTTGCTGGTAGATTTGGGAGTACTCGTTCGCCTGGGAAGCAATCGATGCTGAAAGTCGGATACTTTTGTTTGGTGTTAATTAAGTTCTACGTCGTTCTATTTTAAGGCATGTAAATGTTTTGTAAGGAGCTTACCTAAAGGCCTTAAATTTTCCAGCGAAAAAATGACGGAAGAGTAGATTTGCAGGAATGTTTCGGTAGATATCAAATATGTAGTGTCCGATACCAGACTGAAAAGAGTGAATATGGCTGTGAGAGCTTAAGAATGTCTTAAAAAAACTAGTCCTCTATTCCCGACCATTGGAAATTTCGGAACGCCTGTAAACTCTCCCAATCCAATCATGAAATTTTGAAGGCGAACAGGGAGCCTAACGCAGTTGCTGTGATTTTAACAACTTACAAGATTTAAAGGGAATTTAATGCGGCTGCACCATGAGACTTTCTCAAACTACTTGTAGCATCAGATAATGTAGACATCTTTAACACGATAATATTCACAAAATAACCACTCTAAGCAAATCGTCATCTACGTGCGACACAGAATAGCATAGATGGCTAAGGTACTGGCAGCTATTTGAAGTTGGTATTGCCAGAAAGAGGTTCGGTCCCAGCATGAAGCGTTTTGGAACTTCACTCTTCGTCACTGTACCCGTCGGTTGCTGTTGCTCCGCGCAGATAGCTTGGGAACGGCCGCTGAGGAATTTCTCGATCCATTTAAGAAGCTTGCCGCCGATGCCCATCACTCGCTGGTGTGAAACACTGTCGAACGTCTTCCGGAAATTGCTGTAGGCTTCATGCACAGCGTCTTTTGCATGGAGTGCTCATGTCCAGTTTTGTATTGTGTGAATCACGTTTGTTACACACGATCCTCCCCTACGTAAGCCGCATTGTGCATTGAACAAGAGGTTGTTGGTTTAAAAATAAGACATCAAATCCCCTTTGATGATTTTTTCCATGTCTTTGCGGCAGAAAGATGGCAGAGTGACGGCCCTGTATTTCGTCGCAAGAACACGACTACCGCTTTTGTACAGAGGCATAATGTGGACCATCTTCCAGTCTGCAGGAAGGATTCCAGCATCAAACGATGATTGGCACAAAAGAGGGAGTGGTTTGGTCAACTTGCGGGAAAGTACAGAGAGCTGTTTTGCAGGGATTTCGTCCGGGCCGAGAGATTTACATTCCTCCAAGCTATTCTACTTCTTAGAAGGTCGCGTCTTCGCAAAACACAGTAACTTTAATAATCGAATCTTACATGATCTCAGCAATGGGAGGAATGTGAACTGATACCCTAGTGAAAATTACGTTGGAAGAACTGAGAAAAATGCTCAGATTTATTTGTGCATTCTGATATTTCCGTAGAGGGTGTAACTGCGGGAAGCTAGTTATACATGAGTCGAGGTCGGAACAGAAGTCACAAGTGACGAGTCTCCTTGTGCTGGCTGATCAGGCGACGGACTTCAGCGTCATTGGGTCGGTCGACCAAGATAACAAGCCTGTGCAATGTGTTATAGAAGACGTGGCTTGGACAAGCTAGTTCGATCGACCTGCATAGTCAGTGGTTCAATACCAACATGACTCATGGCCTCCCTAAAGCATTACGGTTAGTTGAAAGGGAAGTTGGGTTAGACATGACATCCCCCGAGCCGTCAAGTCTCGGCGCCGCGATCGAGGCTTGGGTAAACTATAGTAATGACAACAGGGGATGGACGTCTTACGCGAGACCAACAATTCCACTGTCACGAACAATGATGTTTAGTGTGTCGCCCACGGAATGGGCATCGCACCGGCGATAGCGTAAACAGTACGTAAGTGTTTGGTGGGGTCGGGGGTGTGGCGTTTACGAGATGAGCGTGTTCGTAGAATTGGGGGTTGAGAGTTCGCTTTAGGAGTGTTCAGGAGAGTGTGAGTTGGCGTCGATCTGTCTACGTTGAGTGGGTCGGGTTGTGAAATTAGCTAATTACACACCCTCTATCACCTTCACTCCACCCTTGCGTTTTCTACCGATTATGTTAACCCCTGTCTCGAGCGACGCAGATACTGGGTGGCGGTATTTCGCTTGTTTATGAGTGTGTAAAAGGACGCCAGATTGGACGACAAGGAGAGTTGGCTTGCGGGGTGAAATCTCTGTCCGGACGTAGGTGGGGCCGTTCATGTTGCCAAACTGTTGATGATCGGAAGGTGAACGGTTAGATAACGTGTCATTTACAGCACCATTTGCTGGTAGATTTGGAAGTACTCGTTCGCCTGGGAAGCAGTCGATGCTGATAGTCGCATACTTTTGTTTGGTGTTAATTAAGTTCTGCGTCGTTGTCTTTCAAGGCATGTAAATATTTTGTAGAGAGCTTACGTATAGGCCTTAAATGTTGCAGCTGAAAAAATGACGGGAGAGTATATTTTAAGGAATGTTTCGGCAGATATCAGATAAGTAGTGTCTGATACCAGACTGAAAAGTGTGAATATAGCTGTGAGAGCTTAAGAATGTCTTAAATAACTAGTCCTGCATTTATGACTATTGGAAATTTCCGGACGACTGTAATCTTCTTCCTCATTGTGTTTGTCGGCCAAGACGACAACCATGCGCAATGTGTTTTATAAGGCGTCGCCCTAAGATTTTTGCTCTTTTGACCGGCATATTCAGTGCTCCAGTACCTACACGACTCTGAACCTCCACTTAGCATTACGTTTGGTTGTACGGGGAGATGTGTTAGACATGACATTCCCCTATCCCCCATGTCTGGGCGCTGCGATCCCGATCCATTTAAATGGTAGTTAATTCAACAAATGATGGATATCTTGCCGAGAGGCCAACAGTTCAGTCGTCACGAACGATTATTTCCAACTTATCTCCCGCTGACTGAGCACCGCACCGGAGTCGTTAACGTGAATTTTTTCATAATGAAGCAGACCCGACGCATGATCTGCACAATTTGCCCCTCGCTCTTCAACCTTGTTCCGATGGCCCAAATACCAACTCGCAACCCTCATTTGTGCTGGCTGTCACAGGATAAACGTCCCAAATCGCAATCCTGCACATTTTTATTGGACTTTCGTGTCCCTGATGGTAAGATTCCGGAATTTTGGAGACACGTTCGTCCCACTGTGCCTTGGGGTCCAATCTGGGGCCTTAATTGGCAGCCTCACATTGGCTATTTGCATAGGTGGAAAGAGATAACCGAAAAGGACATGGCAGATTAGAGTGGCCATTTCTGACTTACTGGTTGACATCAGCCAGCCATACTCAAACCCAGATTCTGCAACCCGGAGATTCGAACGCGCGATCTGTTGGTTAGAGTTCCAATGCCTCGGGGGTTGCAAAACCTGGAGTTTGGTATGGTTGAAGGAAGACGATTAATAGACCGTAAATGGCCGCCATTTCTGCCTCAGACGTTAAATATCCCAGCGAACATTCCTTCTTAGGCGGTTTCGCGCATAGACTATTATACAAGTTAAGCTGACGTAGTACCGTTGGGGGCAACATCTGGGTTCAGGGAAAAAAAGTCCACAGTAATTAGATCATTCAGAATGACTACGATATGTACACCAAACCCCCGTGGCTGCAATGTATTAGCGTCGAAGAAAACTGAAGAAAAGCCTTCATCGATGCATCTATGTTTAATTCGTTTGAACCAAACCACTTTTGAGTAAACTTAAACCGCCGGATAGGGATTGTGAGGCCGGTAAGACGAGCTCGCGGATTTAAGGTAATCAGCGAAATAAAACAAGTCACACTTACTTTGAGTGTTGCGGGGTGGCGCAAATTCTGCAGGGGCAGAACGCTTTTAAATTTGCACAAATTCAAACTGCTGAGCCCTTAACTTCTGGTCAGGGTCGCTGGGGTGACGGCATCGGCTGTAGGAACTTCCATATTCAATAAATCTCGACTGGCTAGGAGTTCTAATTGAAGCCTGAGCCGCTTTTCTGCCGGGTTGTAAACCACTTATGCGCATTGGAGATTGTAAACAAATTCGTTAAGTTCGCTTTACCCGAAGATGTAGTAGGTAAACCCGTGAACAAATCATACTCTTGGCCTAAAAAACGCTCGACAACAAAACAGAACGCGGATTCCAATCTCAAGTCCTGCAAAACTGCGTTATGTAGGACTGACCTGCGACGACTAATAAGCCAGAAATAGTCATCCAAGACTCGGCCTTGTCTATGTCTGTGATCATCTCTGTATACATTGATGGTTAATATGCGACAGACTTCGTGGAATCTGGACTGATCTTTAAAAGCACAACCAGACAAAATATGTCCCCTAACCCGATATCTGAACTCCTTCCATCAGTATTAACTATCTCTGATCGTATCCGACAACACAAGGACCCTGTGGCTGAATGGTAGAATGTTGGGTTCAACAAAGTTTCATAATGAAAGAGTGCGGCTTCTAATTGCCTTTTGCACGGCAACTTTTTGCGGAGGCAAATCTGCAAATTGGCGTCTTAAGTAAGACTGGCAGGCGAGGGTTAATAAAGCACAAATGGAAATCCTAATCTTCCTTGTAAATGTCGTTCTCCTGCTTCAGTATTTCCTTCGCACTGACGATTGGCCCCGAGTCCTCCTTTATGTGATTCATTTCAGTTCAGAATGGCATCACCGACAAAGGCAAGGGAGACGGGAATGTCCATTTCTGGTTTATTAGTCAGCACGTCATACCCAACCCCGAAGTGTGGAACACCAGAGGCTCGAACTCGCGACCTGTTAGTTAGAAGTCCACGCCTCTAACCACTGAGCCACGAGCCCGTTGTCCTGTCGGTTTTCGATCGGGAATATACAATGGTAGGGGGCGCTCACCAATCGTTCTTACGGAACTCACTCGATCCTTTGCGCCTTACGGGCTTTCTCTCGAACCCAACCAGCAGCCTCGGGTGTTCCACACTTCGTGGTTGGGTATGGCTGGCTGACGACGGCTAATAAGCCAGAAATGGCCATTCCAGTCTCCCTTGTCTTTGTCGGTAATACCATTCTGCCTATATATCATGCGCCGCTGTGCGGCTGCTGGTTGGGCTCGAGAGAGAGTCCATAAGGCACAACGGAACGAGTGAGTTCTGTATGAACGATCGGTGAGCGCCCCCTAACATTGTATATTCCCGATCGAAAACCGACAAGGCAACGGGCTCGTGGCCCGGTGAGTAGAGGCGTTGACTTCTAAACCAACAGGTCGCGAGTTCGAGGCTCGGGTGTCCACACTTCGGGCTTGCGTATGGCTGGCTGACGACGGCTAATAAGCCAGAAATGGCCATTCAAGTCTCCCTTGTCTTTAGGAGCGAAGTGTGGGCGCAAGCCTTTAAACTCCCCATATGCTCGGATTACAAATAACAGTCAATAAACATGGAGAGATGAAATTAAAGGAAGCTTGATGATGTACATACGTGCGTTTCCACCAGAATTTTAGTTTCTCCTGATGAATTTTTGTCAGAACGGTGCGTGTAAGAGATATGAAACGGCGGGGTTTAGTATAATCATGTGACGCTCGAGGTTCTTCTTGTACACTTACACCTGGTGATACTACGATGTCCAATTATCGGAAATGCTCACCAAACGCGTTACGAGATGCACTCGTCCCTTGGTGCCTTGGGATTCAATTTCGAGTCCCGCCAGCAGCCATACAGCGGCGCAGAAAAACACTAACGATAAAAACAAGGGAGACTGGAGCGGCCATTTCTGGCTTTCTAGCTGTCATCAGCCGGCTATTATCGACCCCAGGTCTTGCAACTCCTGAGTTTCGACCCCAGGACCTGTTAGCTAGAAGTTCAACGCCCTACCGACAGGACAACGAGTCAGTGGTTCAGTGGTTGGAGCATCGGACTCCCGACAAGCAGGTCTTGGGATCCAGACTAGGGGGTTTCAAGATCTTGGGTTGGTAGCGGCTGGTTCATGACGGCTAGTAGGCCAGGATGGCCATTCCGGTCTCCTCTGTCTTTGTCGGTAACGTTATTCTGTCTATATTTCAATGTCTCTCGGCAGAGCGTTCCCCGCATTAAATTTCATGGTTTTAATAGATGATTTCGGTTTTCGGACTGCTCTGCCTTGACGAAGCACTTCAGCGAAGATGTGGTCAGGACAACTTTTGCCCATATTTTTGAATTTCGGGAGCCATTTGACCCGTATTTCAAAGAAAATAGTGCAAATGGATAACCTACTTGCAAATAAAGTCTGTGGCCTACCCCGTTCGTTTGATTCTTAATCAATACTTTCGCGAAATTTACCAGCCTTTAGACACCACGAAAGAAGATCTTGACTTCGCTTAGGAGAACCGACATTACAGGTGTACGTGTGGTACAAAAAGCTTTTCGATGGATAAATGTCCAAGCAAAGCCCACAGAATGCGCCGGATGTAATGAAACACTGGTCGAATTCTGCTAAATAATAGCCTATAGTATCAATTATAGTGTAAAATAATGTCAAGTTTCTCCATGCGGAATGTGTACTTACCAACCTTGACACACAAAGGAGACGGTAAGCCTGGTCTCAGAGATAAACGCCAATCCGGCAAATCTCAGGGACATCAGAGCGGACACCCAGACTGACCGGTGTTTTATGAAATCTAAAAATCTCATCTCGGCAGAAGGCATCCTGTCGACATTCTTCATAAGTCCTGTGTCTCTCTATGGGGCGATCTGGACGACTGATTGCCTCAAGTTCATGATCGAAGGCTACTTAAAAACTGTAACCTCAGAAAGTCAGATCGACTAACGTATAAAAGCCTAGCGTCTGACATAGACAGGCATCGACGGTCTACCTCGATACCTGTCTGAAGCTCCACTTTCATACACCAGCAAGTAGGGTGCGGTGGAATTTGTGACCGAATGTGGGCAAGCCTTCGGGGTCCCAGCATCCTATTGGGCTACTGCAACAGAGACGTACCATAGCGGCTCGTCCTAATCTGCTGTTCGATCGGAATAAGCACTCGTCAAAGTTTGATGACAATGTCACGGCTGCTTTTGCCGTTGACTCTGGAAAATGTTTAATCCAATTCACCATGGCGGTGGAAACAGACAATCGGCCGCCCTTTTTTGACATCCTTTTACTTCAGAGTGTAATCATAGAGTTACAGGCCAATGGTTTGACCATCGGTGACGGACAGGTTTCCAACTGTCTCACGTAGTAGATGCGGCAGTAAATTGTACGCGAATAAGATTATAGCGATGCAGATTCACCTAATGCTTCTCACGCCCATCTAGTTATGACAGAATGACAAGGCCATGCTTACAGGGGAGGGGGGGGGCATGAACGCAGAGACTGTCATGCGCAATCAGCCCGTTGACGCGTCACAGGCGACCTGGTGATTATCTTTACTCTAGCCAGGTTTCACTCAGTTTTCACTACCTCACGTGAATGAAGATGCCATAAAGGCCGCGTTACGAAGAAGAAGAAGAAGAAGAAAAAAAGAAGGTGATGATGATGATGACGACGACGACGACGACGATGATGATGATGATGATGATGATGATGATGATGATGATGATGATGATGATGATGATGATGATGATGATGATGATGATGATGATGATGATGATGATGATGATGATGATGATGATGATGATGATGATGATGATGATGATGATGATGATGATGATGAATAAGAAATAGAAGAATAGGAAGAAGAAGAGGATGAAGAAGAAGAAGAAGAAGAAGAAGAAGAAGAAGAAGGCCTTATGGCCTGGCCCTCAGTACTACGCAACAGAACCGAGTTATCCGGTCAACTGGTTATCTTTACGGCTGTCATGGCTGATATTATCTCCAGGTGTGACATACTGCCTGCTCAAATAGGGAATGATTCTAGCTCTAGGTGATACTAATCGAGATAGCGGCGATTCTCCCTTTGTCCACTCCACTACTATGTAGGCGACTGTGACGCTGATGACGTGGAGTTGGGACTCACGGTTTGTTGTTACTTCCTCTGGCCTGATGCAGCGAGGTACGGCGAAGTGTTTGAGGCTAAGTGCTGTGTTTGACCACTTCTTCCGCAGTGCTTGCTTTTCGCTTATTACCTCTTCATCCCAATCCACTTTGCGTCTACCTAAATTCTGCAAGACCCTTTTGTAACTGTTTCCACCGGGACAACGCAATCCATCGGATTGAATAAAGACAAATGACGGGAAGGTGTGCGCCTTCTACTGAATGACTTGGTCATAGGACATATGGGGAATCGAAATTCACCGCTCTCAAGGTCGCAACTCACTCAATTTCCTTGTTACATTGGGTGATTCAGGCGATCTAGCTGTATAGGCGAAATGGTCTGTTTAGATCCGGGTACGGACGTCACTCAACTGACATCGCCCATTTTCTATTTCTGCAGCTTGGAGCTTCCATTACTCAGCACGGAGTTTAACTGTTTCGAAAACCTGAGGGCCTCGTCCTCATCTCGCAAAATTGACCAAACAATCGCCTCATCGATGACATCCCTATCCTGGCTTTAGCCAGGTAACTATAGACAAATGTACCGTCATTCGATTTTATTCCTGGGATTGCGACAAATTATCATTTATCCACCAGTGAAACCTTAAAATAACAAGGTCTTTCTCGGGCACTTGCACTTGATCAAACATTGTTTCGATATTAGCAATGATAGCAAACTTCTCCTGTCTAGATCAGAGTTATCCCAATTAGCAAATTGGTCATATCAGGTCCGGAGAGTAGTTGATCGTTTAGGTAGTATGATGAAGTGGCGCTCACTGATCCAGTTACAGGACATGCTCGTACCGTTGAGGCTTGGGGCTCAATCTAGAACCCTCGCAGACGGTCGCATAGCGACTAGTACAATATACATATGACGCAGAACAGCCGAACACAAGGGAGACTGGAATGGCCATCTCTGGCTTATTAGCCGTCAGCAGGCAGTCATACCCAATCCCAAGTGTGAACCGCCAATGATTCCAACCCGGGATCTTGGGCGACTGAGTCGAACGCTCTACCAATGAACGACGAGCTCGTTGTCTAGGCGGTTCACACTTAGGGTTGGGTATGACTAGCTGATGACGGCTAGTAAGCCAGAAATGACCACTCCGGTTACTCTTGTCTTTGTCGGCGCCACCACTGAATTTGGCCGAACACCGCGCGCACCTTGTCGGACTTGGCTAGGCAGAAAACGGGAGGATGTAGAAGCTAGCAAAAGTAGTCCTTGCACGTCCTCGACTTGAACTTCAGAAGCACACCCAAGCTCGGATTTGTCGCGTACACTCTTGCAACAGGCCTTTTGATCTTAGGAAGCGTTCACTGAGCAGGAGGGGACGCCGTTAGGCGTATAGTTCATCATTCGGAATAATTGGCGGGTAGGTTTTTCAAAGTAAGGCTAACATAAAATGACCGTCCCAGAAGCAAAGGGATTGGTCCGCAGCCTCCAATGCACTGCGATCGCATGCAAACCGACTTTTATCAGTGATTGGTCCCTCGAAGGTTGGATCCTTTTGGTAGAACCTCTCCAGATCCTTTTAGGACTTAAAAAATCTTCGAGCAGTAGACCCCTTTGTACTTCCTGGAAGCTGAGGGTACAGGTTCTATCATCTTCCAATCCATGGTCGTCTGAATAATATATGGTTCGCCGGTCTTATCTAAGCGTTGTCCCTGAACCCAATGTGATTCCGGCACATCGCATTCCAGCAACAATTCGACTTCCATGTTTTCGCGTAGTTCGAGGTTGATCTTACTCAAGTCAGATTACACTGAGGCTAAGTCAGTAAAATCCAGAGTTTCCGTCAAAAATCTACATTTTACGTTTCGGCGGTTTCAAATGATACTCCACGTTGCATTCAGACAACTCAAAATTATCATCAGGTCGTTCTCGAGCGATCGCCCAAACCTCGCTATTCTTATCTAATTCTCCGTCCTCTTTCATCCTAAACTGCATTTTTTCTGAGTCTTTCGGTTCTTATGATGTGTAGTTTGGCAGTTTCTATTTCAAACCGGTGTCGCTCTTAGTCTCTTCATTCAACCGAGATAGGTGAGGCGGGTCGTCAGTGCACTGACAACTCTGGATGACTGTCTCCTTTGATCTGCCTGATCACACTCTAATAACCTCGTAAATATTCTGTAGATTTTCTTGATAAAATGCTAACTTATTCACCAGAAAATACGCACTCGGGGAGAGGGGTTGTGCAAGAAAACAGCCTGAATACCTCGTATATTCCTTGTGGTAATCTAGTAGCAAACAGAAAGATTGACAGAGTAAGATAGGGTTAGCAAAGGAGGCTAGAAAACTGGAAGGTGGACATACATTAGAGGTGATTAGACGAGCAGTCTCCTGAATGCACCAACATGTGATGGCCGATTTAAAAGTGAACAAGAACAGGGAATAAAAACCAACGGGAATCGACGAGTAGGGTGTAGAAACAAATGCAAATAATCCGGATAAGGCCTGTTTACTAACAAGCAGGTAGTAGTAAATAAAATGAAAATTGAGCTGATTTTAGTCAGGATATTTGGAGTAAATGGCAGAGGCACCTAAAACTCCATTTAAAACGATACTGGTGTGAATAACAAATAAGTTAAGTTGCAAAAAAATTGCATGTAATTTTAGCATGTATGATGTTTAAGACTAATGATAAAACGTACATGTGAAAAAAGTATGGCATTTGCGAAATAACGGCGAAAAAATCGTACTGCATTCGCATTTTGAAAATTTTCATCCGGGTCAAGCTTAATCTACGCAAAAGGACCTGTTGAAACGATGTTAGTAGTATGTCCATAGTCATTTCAGTAATTCGCCGAATGGAATTTTGGGAGCTCGGGTTGCCTTTTAGCATGTGATTATCCAGATGCCTCTTAAGCACACGATAGGGGAATTTACGACATATTTCGGCAAAGAAATCAATTTGCAAATGATTCTCTGCGAGAAAAAAGGAGGAAAGTTGATTGGTGTGGGCCAGTTTCTTTCTATGCTGGTAATCGTGTTGTCTGTGATTAGTCTTTGATGCTATTTCAAAAAGGGTTTCCCAGTCGACATCCAGATGAATTCCTCCTGGCAACTGAAACGTTACTATGAGGTCATCTCTGTCCTGCCTGTAGTGGAGAGGAAGGAGGTTTAAGGCTGTCGGGCATTGCTCGTACGTAAAATGTTTGATTCATGAACAGCCTCTGTAGCACATCGCTGTACACCTTCAAGAATATCTATATCATTCCGAAGCCACGGTCCCCAAGCCTGTACCGCATATTCCAGGTGCGGTCTCACAAATGTCCTCATATACCTTGTCAAAGACTCGACATTAAAGTTAATAAGCGTCCCTTGCATCGCGCTCTGACAATTATGGAGGACTGTCCCCTTCGATCTGCTCGAGCACACTCGAATAACTTCGTTAATATTCCCTAGATTTTCACGATGCAATCCTAGTTTACACCCGCGGTCGGGGGCTGGGTTAGAAGGCAGCTGCGTCATGTAACGACAGAATACCAGCAAAACACGTGTCTAAGCTTTTAACGCCTGTGCTGTCAGCGTGGCTAAACCACACAGCTTTGTTGTGCGGAATGCTACACAGGTTTATCAGTCGTTAAATGCGTCCACCGATGCGTGCGTGCAGGGTTACGTCAGTACCAGCCGCCTCTTGCATACACGGTCACTGAGACGTTCTTAGTAGATCCCTCCCTGACTCGTGTGCCTGAACAAACAAACATGGTCCACAAGAGTACATTCCTCGGGTTGATATTGCTAGTTGTATTGCTCCCCCCAGTATAGCCCGCATCCCCATTACTGGCGGCCTATTGGTGTACTTTAAGGGGGATAGCAGCTAGGGTTCTAACCACAAGAACAGCAATCGAAGTGCGAGAGCATAGTCCCCACAAGAAGGGGTTCTCTGAAGTGATCTGTCGACTTTATAAACCCTCAAGGGCCTGGCGTCAGACTACAATGTCAACTTACAACCGACTGCTCCTGCTGGCTGAAGCCTGACATTGTCCCAAAATTCTTTCGCAATTATATCCGTCAGGAAAACAGAATTAGAACTGCAAACTAGCCCCTATAAATATGTGATCGTCCTACAGAGGCTGGATCTCACCCCTCACAGGATACCGGATATCCTGGTCATATCTCCGACTTCCGTGGTCACCAGTCCACGCCGAGGGCAGCCCTAAGGTCGGACCTTCCACATTACGATCCTCTGGCTTCAGTTCGGGCAAACGAAGCTTCGACCTCACTAACACTTAACGGGTCTTGCGTCACAACCGTCACGGAGACAAGGACAGAATAGTCGTGGTGAGTTCAGACAGCGCATGACCGAAGTCAGCCTAGGACGAGCCAACTACCGGTTTACCC